TGGAAGATTATTTATAGGTTCTTCCAATAAAGATTGATTCTGCAGATTGTTTTTTTGAATAAATCCTTTCCAAACTGTGTGACCAGCTGCAAACCTGTAGATGATTTTATTTCTGACACCAGTTCCTTGGCTACAACCCGTTTGATACATCTTTGAGCTTTAAAAGCCTTATGTTTTTATGCATTAGTGACAAGGAGCTCAAAGAAAATGTCAATTAGATATCAGCATGTTTGTCTCTGAAACAGAAGTCAGCCAGCTGGACTTCCTGGGGAGCACAGAAGAAAGACAACAACAATAAGAAGGGAAAAACCTTCCATCAGCATCTTGCTTCCAGACCCAAACAACCCAGGAACAGAAAGTCAGCAAGCAGAAAGTTCAGATCTTTCTCATAAGCAACTAAGTTCTGACTTATGTAAGAAAAGGGAATAAGATTTAAACTCATCAAGATATTGACAAATCCTTACATTTCACAAGCATAGTGAAGGATTCTGATGTTATCCATTCACCCCAATGCAGAAAGGGCTGAATGCAAATGCTTGCTCAAACAGTGTATGCACAGATCCTGAACTTAGGAAACCAATCTCATCCACAGCTCTACAGGAGCAACTAACTGAAATAATTCATGCAGATAAATGGGGCCCAAAATGATCAGGTACACAACTCTCTCCAGAGATCATGTATACAGCCCTCTGTTACGGCACAGGTTGGTGTCATTAACACTGAGTCTAACTCTCCTGAGAGCAGGATTTCAGCTTGTGCTGACAGCACACCCTACTCCCTGAGCCAGCACTGTTTGTACTCTCACAGCAAAGGAACCTATGGGGTTACTGGCCAAGCTTTCGCTTCTCCCTTTCAAGATGACAATGAACTACAAACAGCAAGGAGGACACATGCTGGCTGGCTGCACAAGCTGCAGCATCCTCCCATCACAGCTGGAGCTTTTCTTTCCCTACCGCCACCTCACACCGCAAATCAGAGCAGGCTAAAGATGGCTGGGTGACGGATCCAGGGGTGAAATTCTGAGCAGCTCCATTTGCTTGCACATCAAAGGAGCCACGAGAGGCTCAGTTGCTCCTGCACAAGTACAGCAGGGGAGAACAGCACAGTGATAGCACAGAGGGACTGGCAGATCGCAGCTCCTCAGGCAGGACAGCATCCACAGGGACCCCAGCATCCCACAGCCAGGCTGGGTGGCACTCGGGGCTTTTATTCTTTGTGTGGATGCCACAGCTTCTGGTTACCATGGAGTGAAACACTGCAAACACCATTCTCAGCTGGCATGAAATGTAATCCCATGATTTTACTATTCATAGCTCTGACACGATAAAGCTAAATTAAGCAGGAGCTCTTAACTTTCCCTGACCCAGTGGCAATGACTACCCCTGTCACTTAGCCCCTGCTAAGGCTCCGTCCCACCCAAGAGGGGATGATATTTCCCTTCGTGCAAACAAGCTGTGGAGCCACAAACCCAGCCTGTCAGCCACCAACAAAATGGCACCTGCTTGTTCCAGCCACTGCTCCAAAGTGACTGCAGCAGCAGCGAGGGGATGAGCCCTTGTGTTGGACCTAACCTGCTCCCCTCCTTCATGAAAACCACTAATGAGCCTGAAGCCACACTTCCCCCTTGCTGAGCTGGGTCTTCTTTCTGAAAATCTACTGGTAGCAACCTGAACTATATGGATAAATGCACAGCAGCAGCTCTGTCACACAGAGCTGTTCTCTGCGCCGTGATAATTCAGAGGAAACCATATGACCTCAAAGCCTTGATATTGAGCTGGCACACCAAGCTATTAAACACACCTCAGTATGCATAAACTTCTCCAGATACAAGAAGTTCAAGGTCTGTGTAATGCTTAAGCAATTAACAAGTTCAGACATGGCTAAGTGCCATTTTGCCAACACAGAACCAAAAAGGCTAAGGGAAAAAAAAAAAAGCAAAACCTGCTGACTTGCATGGCTGAGCACTCATATCCTGGTGTTTTATGCACTGAATGTTTTTGCTTCCTAACAGCATCAACCATGCTACTCTGAAGCACACCAACCTCAAATATCACTAACAAACTCACAGAACACAGACCTGGCTTCACCTGGATGACAAAATGTTTCCTTAAACAGAGTTTATAAAGCTTCCTGGTTTAAATAAGCTGCAGAAAGCAGCAGACAGCTAAATTACATTATCACGACCCCGAGAGCAGGATGCCCATTTAGTTTGCAGTATAGATCCTTTAGTCAGAGTAGAATTAGAAGCCCAGAAGTTCACTCTAGAGGTGCATGGCTGCTCCTGGAGTCTCTGCACACAGAACAGAAGCTCTAAAGTGCCCACAGAAACCTGCCCAGGCAGCTCTTGCTGAAGGAATGAACTGTGGACCGGTTTTTCCCCCACAACAGACTGTGTAAAACAACACAGAACTAAGAATGCAAAGAGCAGAAATGCACCAGCATAAACAGAAACACTGGGTGCCACAAGCAGAGATGGGCAGGGATTGAACACAGCACACACCTGCTGCTGTCAGCCACAGACGTGGCACATAGCAGACAGATCTACCACTGCTCTACTCCTGTACAGCAACACCCTGAAGAGATACCAGGAGGAATGTTACAGTGTGTCCTTGGTGCAGCCAGGTTCCTTCTTCAAAGTAAGCTACCAGGTAAGCATCAAGAGCTTCACATTTCTTTGTGCCTAGGTGACAAAGGACTAACTGAAATGCCTGTAAGTTCACACAGGACCATGTCCTGCCCCCTGGCAGCACTGCCTTGCACCTTTCTCCTCACCACAGGTGGGAAGTCCAACCAAACAACTGTGCAGTGCTGCAGCTTAGCCCCCAGAACTCCACAGCTCCCCACTGTGCTGACAGCAGCATTCACAAATCCCATGTTCTCATACGTACAAGTGCATAAAATTCAATAATACCTCGGGACACTGAGGCCTATCTGCTGGAGTACTGCCTTGAGAGCAACGTTTTCAACAGGCTGTGCTAATTTAAGGCCTTCTGAGGTAACTCAGAAAACTAATTTGTTATACATGCCTCTCCCTACTCCTACTTTAGCTGAAACAAGAAGTTCACAGTAAGGAGAATGCGAAACTAAAATATCAGAATCCAACAGGAAATCAGATATGATCACAAGGCCCTGGAGCCTGCCAAGTATTCTGGATCACAAAAGCATGAATTTTTGACAGCTTTCTTTGCTAACTACCTGATTTTATCCTTTATCTGCAGTTAGATGGCCTAACAAGTAATGCAGCTCGTGAAGCCAGCTGCTTCCTCACTGTGCTAAGCCCATGCAAAGTGACAGAGCAAGTATTCAGAACTACTGAGTTCCTCCAAACACACTGCTATGCCTCAGTAACCATTTTTCCAGTCTCAACAACACGCTCCCTTGAAGGCAATTTGCAATTTCCAAAAGCCAATGCTTTTCAAACGAACGGAAATCAGGTTCCACAACCAACACCCACACAGAAGTCCTCCTCAGCCACAGCACTTGCCAGGAGCAAAAACAAAAGACACATTGGAAAGAGACCTAAAATTTCACATCGGCCTTCCCATAAACAATTACATTAATTAACGATCTGCTCTCGCTACTAGAGGGAAGGAATACTGCAGGAGTCCTTTGAAGAGAGTAATTGGGTGATTGAGCTGGCCATGCTCTTTGGGAAGCTTGCTGAGTGACCCAGCAGCCTCATGCACACAATGCTGAAGCAGCAGCAGACAGAGGCCCTCCTCCTTCCCCATATTCAGCTAATGTACATCTACAATGTTTCCCAAGCCATTGGGCATATTGCTCTCTTCAACAGTGCCCTCTCCTCAGCATAATGCACGTTTGGGTAAGATGCATTAAGGTGCACAAGGACAAGCACTTCTCTTACACCCAGCCTAAAAGAGGAGCAAGGAGGAAGCGCTGTGCAATCCCTAACACTGCACACCCCGTGTGGCAAACAGCTCACCCTGCACCTCTCAAGGCGCCAAACAGCCCTTCTTCTGAACTTATCACATCACACATATTTACAAAGCCGTACAGGAGACAATTACAGCACTGATTATCCTGTGGAGACTTCAAAATATCTTTAAAGGAGCCTGGAATCAACCCCTCCCAAGCAACTAAAGTTAGGATCACTCTCAAATTAGAGAAAAAGGCGATTCGAGGCACACACGTGTTTCTGTGCCCAGAGCCCGCTGCACGGCATCACCCCAACTCCACAGAACTCCTCTGTCCAACAAACCCACCGTGCAGTCAGCGCTGAAGGGCTCCGAGCGCTGCCCATCCCCTTCCTCCCCCCCGAGCCCATCCGCCCGCGGGGCGATCCCGATGACGGGAAAAACCGCCCAGAGGCCGGGTGCGAGACAAGGCTCGGCCGGAAAACGGGAATCCCCGGGTAGAGGAGCCCGGATGAGGCACCGCGGAAAGGCCTGGGCCTGGAACGGCCCCAACCGGCCGTGTGCCGCCAGGAGGCGGCGCGGGGCCCGGCCCGGCCACGAAGGTTCTGGAGGGCTCCGGGAGCGCCCTGAGCACCGACCGGGGGTCCGCGGGCAGCACGTGGGACCCGGGGCTGGGATGGGGGGGGGAAACGGGAGGGGGTGCCGCGGTGAGGCCCGGGATTGGGGGGGGAGGGGGGAAGGACGGCGAGCAAGGCCCGGCTCAGGAGGGGAGAACGAGAACGGCCCGGGCGCGTCGTGCCCGTGGGACGGGAGGAGAAAGAGGGGAAGGGGCCGGCGGCGGAGCGAGGGAAGGGCGGCGCCACGTTGGGCCCGCGGCACTCACCGGACCCAGCTCCGCCTGCGGCCTCCTCAGCGGCCAGGCGCCTCCACCTCCTCCTCACGCACTTCCGCTTCGCGCCCGCCCGCCACCCGCACGCAGAGGCTGCCGGGAAGCGCAGTCCGAACCCCTACGGCGCCCCTCCGCTAGCGGGGCGGAATGGACTGCATATCCCAGTGAGCCCTGCGCGGGGCGTGACGTCACTTCCGCTTCCCCCTCGCCCGCCCCTCACGCCACCAAGAGGGCGCAGCTTCCGGCTGGAAGGCAGGCCGGGAAATGGCGGCGGTGCCGACACCGTCAGTCCGCGCCCTGCCCTGAGGGGCCGCCCCTCCCCGCCGCCCACCCCATCCCCGGGCCGCAACGAGGCGAGGCGTTGCGTGGTTGTTCACTTTTATTGTTCGCAGAGGTTGTCCGGATGCATAACACTGTCACAACGGCACGGAGAGCAGCGTGGGCCCGGCCCAGCCCCGGGTGCACGCAGACATGCGTGGGGACAAAGGGGACGGGGCGGCCCCGAGCCCCCCGGTGTCGGCCGAGCGCTATTTACAGTATTCACATACATTGTACCCAGCGAATTAAATAACCACAGTATGACAGCACACGTCTGGGGTGGCTCGGGCGGGCGGTGGGCAGGGGCGGCAGGCTGATAAGGTGCATGGTTGTTTGTTTTTGTTTTTTTTTTTAAAAAAAAAGAACAAAACGAAATAAAAACAACTGAGAGAGAAACCAGGAGGCCCCGGTGTGGGCGCAGGGCTGGCGGCTGCCATGTTGGAGCCTCGCGCTGCCTGGGCTCCTCATGGCATGGCCGGGCGGGCGGAGGAGGGCAGCGAGGTGTTTCCTTCTGACAACAGCTATGGGTCTGCGCGGTGCTCCGTGGGGACGTCAGCCAGGGCCGGGCCTCACAGCACCTCTGTGGGCACAGGAGCTGCCGTCAGAGCTGAGGTGTCATCGCCCCCTGCTCCAAATCGGCTCCCCCGCCCCTTACCTGTGACCTGGGGGGGTTTGACCACTGCCTGCTTGAGGAAGGGCTCCTTGTCGCCAAATGGGATGATGCTGCTGGGGCTGCCACCGTGGTGGGAAAGCTCCAGCAGCTCTGAGGAGCCCTCGGTGCCTGAGAAGCCGTTTTCGTGCTTGCTGGGCTGCACGCCATTCACAACTGGGGCTGCCACATCCTTGGCTGGAGAACTGTAGGGCAGTGGGTTGGGTTGAGCTGGGGTCCTGCCAGCCCCCAGCCCCCTTTCCACCCCTGTGCTCACCTGGGCTGCAGCCCCTCGCCTGCCGGGCCCTTCAGTGTCCCCAGCATCCCTGCACTCGGTGTCTCTGTCTCTGGGAGCTCCTCTGCCTTTGGCATCGGCCCTGCTCTCTTCTCACCACCTGGAGACACGAGCAGAGCCCTGCTCAGTCCCAAGGCTCAGGGAACAGGATGGGGGCAGGGGCTCTGGGGACTTCCAGTACTGAATGAAGCAGGAGGGAGCTGTGTACCTGTGCTGTGCTCCTGCTCAACTGCTTTCCCATTCACTATCTTCTTGTCTTCCTTCTTCTGCAGGGAAAGGAGAGCAGTGAGGGCTCCACGGTGCCTGCTGTCCCCAGGCAGCTCAGGACTGGGTGTGCAGGACAAGCACCCACCTTGGCATCTGCTGCATCCGATTTGCGTGTCCGCTTCATGATCTCCTCCAGGCGCTGCAGGGCAGACAGGGGCTCAGATGCTGCCCTCCCCAGCAGGACCTGCGCCACGCACTGGGCACCCCCCAGCATGAAAGGCACCTAGCAGTGCCCCCAGTCCTTACCTTCTTTCTCTCCAGCCGCTCCTGCTCCTCACGCTGGAAATGCTTCTCCCGTTCCAGGCGCTGCCGCTCAGCCTCTTCGCGTGCCTTCGCCTCAGCCTCTTCTCTCTGCGAGGTCAGCAGGGACAGGTGAAGTGGGAACGGTGGGAACAGGCTTCATCTCATTCCACATCCCATCTTCCATCCCACATCCCATCCTTGCCCCCATCCCTCCTCCTCCCCCCCTGCCTCACACCTGTCTCTGCAGCCGCTCTGTCTCCTCCCGTTCTGCCCGTGCCTTTTCCTGGGCCTCGCGCTCCTCCTGCAGCTGCTGCTCCTCCTCCCGCTGCCGTGCCAGGGCCTCCCTGCGGCTCTGCTCCTCCGCCGCCTGCCGTGCCCTCTCTTCTTGCAGCCGCCTGTGGGGACACAAGGGGCCCTCGGTGAGGTTGGGGGCACCAGGGCCGGGGTGGGGTCCATGGTTGGGTACTCACCTCTCCTGCTCCTCCTGCTCCCGGCGCTCTCGTTCCTCGCGCTCCCGCTGCTCGCGGGCCTGGCGTCGCTTTTCTGCCAGCAGTCGGGCGGCCTCCTCCCGGTCCGTAGTGCCGGCCGAGGGTCTGCTGGGGGGGCTGTGGGCTGCAGGGGCCGAGGGGGCTGTGGGATGTGAGCAGCATCAGTGCTGCTCCCACTCCTCCTGACCCCTAACAACCATGTACCTACCTGCTGCCGGCTCTGTGGGAACCCTGGGCGGCTCGGGGGTGGCTGGGCCCTTGTCCTCTTCCTTCCTCTCGCGCCCCTTGGCCTGGCCATCCTGCTCGCCCCGCTCATCCCGCACCCTGGCCCGCACCTTGGGGGAGGAGTGAGCACTGCGGGGCAGGGGTGGCTTGTGGGGTGAGCCCAGGGCTGGGCTGGGGGATGCTGGGCGGGTTTTGGGGGTGGCTGGGGATGAGGGACGGTTCTTGGGGCCAGGGCTGCAAGCAGAGCAAGAAGAGATATTAGCAGGGTCCCCATAGCTCTGGGGCTGGGCAGTGCGCAGTGCCAGGTCCCAACCTGCTGTCAGCTGTGGGCAGGAGCCGGGGCTGTGCGCCAGGCAGTGACTGCCGCTTCTTGAGGCTGCGCTCGCGGGACAGCGCACTGCGTTCCTTGGCATTCTCCCGCTCCTTCTCCTTCTTCTCCTTCTTCTTCTGTGCCAACCATAGAGAGCATCAGTACCACACTGCTGGGCTTGGCCAGGAGTCAGGCATGGGGTTGTCCCAGCAGAAGGTGGCACTCACCGGTGAGGACTCGGCACGGCGACGCGGTGTCACATCGGGGCTGCCAGCAGTGCCCCTCCGCCGCTCCCAGCAGCGGTGCGGCAGGCGGTGGTTGTGGCAGGGGCTGAGGGGGCTGGCAGAGGCCGAGCGGGGGCACACAGGCACTGTGGGGATGGGGCCGGTGGCTGTGGGCTCCCACCATGGAGCGCTCCCAGCCCCCTGCCCCATGCAGTTCCGTGGCCCTCATGCTCACCCTGCTCCTTGCCATTCCCAGCCAGTGTCACGGCGCTGCGGCTGCGTGCCAGGAAGGACAGCGTGGGCGTCATCAGCCGGTCCACTATGCTGCTCTCCCAGGGGCTCAGCTGCAGGCTGCGGTCTGCAGAAGGAGAAGAGCCCTTAGCATTCTTGAGCCCTGCAGCACACTGGCACCATTCCTTTGCTCAAGCCCCAGGGCTTCCAGATCCCCACTCCTGGCACTGAGAGCCAAGGCACCGCACGTGGCACACAGACAGCACTGAGGCAGGACGACGACGTGCCCACAGCAGCGTTCCTCCTCTCCATCCACCCTGTGCCAGTGACACTGAGCCCCCGGCGCACTGCAGGACAGCCACTGTGTGCCCCTGCACCAAGGGAGAGGGGCTGAGGCCACCACACAGTCACAGGAGCCGGGCTGGGCTTATGGCATCCAGGGGATGGTGGCCCCCAGGCCCAGCTGGGCACAGGATCACTGCCACCTGCATTGCACTGCTGGCACCGAACAGCCCAGGGCCATGTGGACAGCACCACAAAGACAGCAACCCTGTGTCCCTCTCCATCAGGACAACGCAGTACCCTGCTGCTGGGAGGGGACAAAACAGAGACTGGAGCAACACTGGGCACTGTGTCCAGCACCAACCGAGGCGCTGGCTGCTCAGCACAGCCCCGTGTGCCCCCCCTGGCTGAGCCCCAGCATGAGGCCGTCAGAGCCGCCTGCATCAGCTGCTCCATCTATTTATACCATCCGGCGCACGCCCATCGCCAGGCAACTCAGCAGCACAACAGCACGCAGCCCCACGGCTCCGGCAGCTCGCCCAGACCTGAATGACCTCATGGCACCCAGCACTGCACCCACAGCCCCTGAGGGGCACACAGTGCTGCATCCACAGCACCTCAAGGCACTCCGAGGTGTCACAGTGGCCACCAGCCCTGCAGATGCATCTTGCAGCCCTGGCCAGAGGCCATAGAGCTCCCAGTGCCATCCTGGCTCCCTCCACCTCCCAGCAGCTCTCCATGGCTGGGCAAGGAGCTGGCACCAGCCTCCTCCAAAGCTCCAGCCTCCTCCAAAGCAAACAGCACACAGCTCCTCCTCTCCGTGGGCACTGTGCAAGGCACAGCTGGGGCTGGGGGGTCCCTATGTGGGGCGGGGGCTGAGCTGTGCCCCCCTGCACTGCAGGGCCATGCAAAGGGCTCTTACTTCTACTGGGAGAGTTCCAGAGGGTGGCAGAGGATTTGGAGAGCCGCTTGTTGATTATAGAGTCGACGTGTTTGGGGAGGTTTACGGCGGACACTGAGCAGCGGCTCGCACCTGGAGGAGGGAAAAGACACAGGGCATTACAGACCGGGGCGGGGGCTGCTCCTTGCATGCAGCATGCACTGACGTGGGGCAGTGGGGCTGCGGGATGGTGGGAGGACATGGTACACACTGGTGGTTGGGATGGACTGTGTGGCACAGTGCCTGTGTCATGCGGGGGCATGCAGGGATCTCAGCTCTGGGGACCACAGCACTACCACCATGCTGTCCCCAAAACACAGTCCTGGAGCCAGGGGACCTCAGTGGCTCAGGGAAAGACGGACACAGGATGGTGCTCAAACCAGGACCCTACAGCAACACGGGGTGGGGGACAGCAGGGAAGCAGAGCCCTCAGCCCTGGCTGGGCAGCCAGAGCCCACCGATGGAGGAGGCAGCAGCCAGGTTGGGGGACAGCTCCACGGAAGTGGCAGGGAGCCCCAAACAGCAGGAGTGCATCTGACCCCAAATGCTCCACGATTCACCACGTGGCACAAAGCACCTGTGTGTGCATCCTGACCATGCACCGCCAACACCCAACGCTGCACATACAGCCACACCACGGCACGAGGCACGGGGACACAGCGCTGCCCATCAGCCACAGCACAGCCCTGTCCCCTCAGCAGCCAGGGCGCACCCCCAGCACAGTGTCCCCACGGAGAGGAGCCCCACACTGAGCATTCCACACGGCACAGCCATGTGCAGTGGGAGCACGCAGCCCTGGTCAGCCCCACATTGGCACCAAGAGCCACCCACGTGCAGCTGGGTGACGTGGGGACGCAGCACAACACACACCCTAACACCACCAACAACACAGCGATGCCTTCGCGTGGCTCCAAGCCCAAACATCACTCCTCCCGCGCAGCGCAGTGACCGCAGATGGGCGCAAGCAGCACAGCCCAGGGAACACAGTGCCACGGAAATGGGAGAAGCCGTGGGATCCCGTCGAGCCACGGCACAGCGCGACGTCGCAGCAGGGCAGCACTGCAGACGCTGCGTTTGCCATCTCTTCAGCCACAGCCCCGTCCTCGTGCACTCACCATCCTTGTGCGTGGCAGAACCATGGTGCAGGGCCCCTGCCCACGACCACCGCTGCTGCCGGATCTCTGCCCACGTCTTCTTGGCCGAGCGCTGGATGGCCGCCTCGTAGCGCTCCTGTCCAAGAGAGGGATGGGCTCAGAGATGGGGACCTTCAGAGGGCGATGGGGCAGTGATGCCCACCCTAGAGCACACAATTGTGCCCGAGAACCCCCAGGTGTGCTGCTGGAGACCCCATAAGGAACGCACCCACCCCCTCCCCACCTTGTTCTTCTCCAGCTTTTGCCGCTGCCGCTCCTCCAGCACCGCACGGCGCTTCTCTGCCCGCAGCCGCTGCTCCTCCAGCCGCCGCCGGCGCTCCTCCAGCTGCCTCTCCCGCAGCACTTTGGCCTTCTCCTCCTTCTCCAGCCACAGCGCCCGCTTGGCCGCTGCCGGGGGGAGCCCACGTGGAGGGGTCACAGCCCGGCCGGGGGGATGCAACACCCCATGTGCACGGAGAGACCCACGGCCGTGGTGAGGATGCGTGGCAGCAGCACAGGACTGAGGGCTGAGGGTTTCCCGGGCGCATGGGGCCGGCAGCATTGCAACCAGCGTGGTGGCAGGGAGGAGTTAGGGCGAGGACAAAAGGGAGCCGGGAGCCCGCGGAGCCGCTCGGGGAAACAATGGGGGAATGAGGGTGGAAAGAGCGCGGGGACGAGGGGGCCCCATGGGCGGCGCAGGGGCTGTGCAGCCCCACACATCCACAGCCCCACACATGGCTGCCTGCTGGAACCCACCCAGATGTGGGGTGCCGTGGGCCTGGGGAACCCCCACGTTGTGCAAAATGCCCGGGAGGGACAAACCTGCAAGTGCAGTGCTTGCACTAATAGCAGCTAATGGGATTGCCATGACCCAGCCAAGCTCCTTAGCTCTCCTGCCCGCCCCTTCACATCCACTTTCCCTCCCAGCCCCACTCCTCACCCAGGTACTTGGCCCGCTCCTCTCGCCGCTCCTTCGCCTGCCTGTGCCGTGCCTGGGCTTTCTGAGCATCTGCTGCAGGGAGACACAGTCAGAGCAAAACAAACTGCACCCCGGAATGGGGGGACATGAGGGGCCCCACGTGAGCAGTGGGGCAGACAGCCACCCCCCTCCCCTTTCTCCAGAACACCCACCTTGCTTGGGCCTGGGGCTGGCAGCTGAAGATGGCGATGCAGCAGCTGGAGTGGCACGGTCACCCTTGGGGGGGACATCCTTGGGGGTCACATCCTTGGGGAGCACATCCTTGGGGGCGACTTCCTTGGATGGTGTGTCCTTGGGGGATGCATCCTTGAGGGGGACATCCTTGGAGGGCATATCCTTGGGGGGAATGTCCTTGGAGGGTGTGTCCTTGGGGGGCACGTCCTTGGGAGGCTGCGTTGTGCTTCCTGGGGGGCTCTTGGCATCGGAGGGTGCCCCTTTGCCAGCAGTGGGGGCCACGGTGGTGCTCCCATGGGGCAGTGTCTCCGCTGGGCACGGGGCAGTGGGGACGGGCAGCGGCTGGCCAGCGGTGCTGCGTGATGCCTCTTCTTTGGGTTGCTCTGTAGCGTGAGGATGGGGGTGTGCAGGGGGGGTCTTGTCACACCAGGGTGGGACGCTCTCTGCTGAGGGAGCCACAGCTGCAGGGATGGGGGACATGGGATGTCCTGGGGGGGTCACAGCTGCGGGAACAGGGCAGAGCTGTCCTGGTGGGGGGGTGGCCATTGGGGAAGGGGTCACGGCTGGGAGGATGGGTCGGTCACGCTGTGGGGGGCTGTCTCCGTGCACAGTGTCCCCAGGTTGGGGGGGCAGCACGCTGTCTCCCATCGGGGACGGTGTCTTCCCTGCAACACAGAGCACAGCAGGTCACCAGAGGGGCTTTTGCTGCCGCCACCATCCCGGGGGGGGGGGGGGTCACCATGCAGCCCCACGCCGGCTGCCAGGTGCTGTGTGCACAATGCACAGAGCACACGGAACGGCTCTGCCAGGCACCACTGCCACAAAATGCCCTTCTTTCTCAACAGCTGCTGCCCCACTCCAGGGGGAAAACCCCACACCAGGCACGGGGGTGGGGGGGAGGGAGAGCAGGCACTTCCCGGAGGATGTAGGGCGCTTCTGCTGTATTGGAAGGGCGGAGGATGGGCTCAAGATGGGTGCAGGATGGGCGCAGGCTGTCGGCCTGACGTCACACGGTGCGTGTCCCCGCGCAGCCATGAACTCATGGCCCAGGAATGCACACGAGGCCGCCGCCGCCGCTGCGAGAAAACAACTCCTCCCCGAGCGTGTGGGGCTGGGACTCTGCTCAGCGCCTGCTCCGTGTGCATGGACCCAAATGGACCAGTGGCACTGAGCGGTGACCTGCGTGGGGGTGACCTGTGCAGGGTGCAGTGCAGCCGGAGCACCCTGCGGAGAGCAGCATGCTGCTCAGACTGTCTGCCCTATGCAAGCGCTCCATTTGGGATCACAGCCCTGATTCCTGTGCAGCAGGAAGGGTCGGTGCTTCTGCCCGGCCCAGTCCCATGGACACCACCAACACTGGCACTTCTATGCACATGGCCCCAGCTCTGAGTGCAATGAGGACACCGGGGACCCACGACCCCAGTGTGTGATCCTCCCCACGGGGCGACGTCCCGCACCACTCAGCTGTGTTTGTGGAACTCTCAGCAATCTTCAGAGAGGGGCAAAGTATGGGCTGTGCAAACACAGCCGGCGCCGCTCCTTCACGCTGTAGCTGGACGAGCACAGGGACAGCACCGGGCTGCACCGCATGGGGGGCTGCACCCAACCACGACCCCCCCGTGGGCGCATCGCTCCCCGGATGGACTCAGCACAGGACCAGCCCTCCCACTGCTTTCCGGCTATTTGTGCTGCAGGAAGGAGGCTGTCCCCTGCTCCCACACGCCCACAGCCCCAGCACAGCCAGAAAGGACAAGGGCTCCCACCCATCCCCACTCCCACCCACAGGCACTGCAGCAATGCAGCCCACGGGGCCACCAGCTGAGCCAAGACGCCACTCAGGCTGACACCACGCAGCAGATGGACATCCCACCCCATCCTTGCAGTGTGAGGAGCAGCACCGAGTCCCTACAGCCACCCACCGCCACAGGGCATGGAGCTGCCACGCAGCCCATGGACAGGATCCATCCCGCCCCGATGGCCACAGGGACGGCAGCACCCAGCGCCGTGGGGCACAGCCACAAACCCCAAAAGCCACAGCCCAGGAGTGGCCCTGCACCATCTGTCCCTGTCGCTGCCGCAGCACAGCAGCTGCCCTGAAACCCAACGCTGGGGCATTCCAGAGGGGATCAGCTCCCAGCCCCAAACACTGCGTCCCACAGCCCCCAGCCCTGCTGTCCCGCAGAGGGGACATCGCTGCGCGCAGAGCAGTGTGACCTCAGTGGGATGCTGGGATGGGAGGGATGCCGGCCATGGGGTGAGGCGCTGTGCCTCGAGCCGGCCCTGCTGGAAGAGGGCTGCGGTGCCGGAGCCCACCTGGCACCTCTCGTGGGTCCCTGTGCCACCAGCACACCCATGTGCCACCAAGTGCCACCGGCACCTCCTGCCCGGCACGCGGCCAGCGCTGCTCAGCCAGGCGGAGGCAATTCCCAGTGCGATGAAGCGAGAGCACATCACAACCCCGGGGGGTTGGAGAAGGCGAGCAGCCTGAGCCCAGCACTGCAGCGGGGCCCTGGGGGGCTTCCCACCGGGGAGGGCAGGGGGGGCTGCACAGCACCTTCACCTCAGCTCCCCCCAGTTTATCCTCACATACCCGCTGAGCGGCACGGCTGGCCACACCACAGCATCCCCAGGTTGTCCATTTTGGCACAAAGGTTCCAGCTGCTGGAACACTGGATGGGGCTGACCCCAACCTGGGACAGGGAGGTGGGTGCAGTGCAGCTCATCCATGGTGTCCCAGCGCTGGGACACAGATCCAGGCTGCTTGGCCACCACCACCCCAGGGCACACATCCCTGCGTGGGGTGGGGGATAGCTTGTGGGATGCTCAGGGATGAAATCCTGGTGCAAACCTCAGCCCCAAAGCCACCGATGGCTCTGCAGGGCCCGGTGGGGATACACACATGTCCTTGGGGGTCTCATGTCCCCTCTCCAGTTGTATCCCCACCTTGACAGCAGCTCCACAAGCAGATGGGGAAGGCTGAGCCTCCAAAGCTACTGTGTCCCCAACAGCTCCCAGTGCCACCTACATGGAGCAGGTATGGGTATTCGACAGGGACAGGGGCTGCTGAGGCCACCAGAGCCCTGTGGGGTTCACAAAGGTGCACAGAGCCCCTTTCCCCTCCATTCCACAGCACCATGCTGTGCCCGCTCCCACTTGGCTCCTGGGGATGTGCAGCATCACACATCTCTGAATGGTGGGCACAGTGAGCATCCCTTGCATGTTCCCTGCATGTCCCTTTCCAGGGGTCTCTGCTCCTGCCTAGGGCCAGCACTGCTCTGGGGCACAGAGACTCAGGGTGCAGGGGCACTGTGACCAACAGTGATGTGGGGAGCTGGAGAGCAACAAGGGGAACTTGGGAGATGGGATCTTGTGGCCACAGCTGGGGGGTTTCCAGGGTTTAAAATACACCCAGAGGAAAGCAGAACGTGCCCAGGCTGCTCCTGGGCTCCATCACCCCAGACACAGGGCAGAGGGCCGGGCTGTGGGCAGCACCTGACTGCCATCCGTCTGCGCAGCGCAGAGCAGCGACAGGAGGTGCCCACGTCCTTGGGGTGACCCACAGCAGCCAGCACTGGGAAACAGCACTGCAGGCAGAGCAAGGGGCTGCGCTCTGCTGGGGGCAGGGTTTGTGGGGAGCACCTCCAAAACGCAGCTCCTATATTAGGTGGGCACCTACCGGGTGCTCTGTTGGATCCCAGGAGGCCGCCCTCGCCGCACTGTTTGGTCCCCAGCCCCGCTCCCAGCCAGCTGAGAGCCGTACCAACTATTTTGGACGTGGCACCACGGGACTGTGACTGTCACATCACTGCTCCACACGTCACATCACGTCGGTTCCATCAGGCTCTCCCTGCACTCCCAATGCCAGCGCTGGCGGGCGACCAGCTGCCCCGCACCCCCTGCTGCCCCGTGCCAGGAGAGCCTGATGGAACCCAAATAAGCACCGTCTGTGCCTGCGCTGCGCCCTGCTCTGCGGCGTGCTGGTTCTGCATCCTGCTGGTGGCCAGGAAAGGGGAACCCACTGTGTCTGGGACTGCTGTAGGGTGAGACATGGAGCGCACGCTTGGGTCACCCGACCGAGGGGTGAGGGCAGCTTCGGCCAGCAGCTCTCCGCTCTGCACGAGGATCCGTGCGCCGAGCAGAGCTTCCTCTGCACGCAGCCGAGGGCGGCCTCATCCCCAGGAAGCACCGATGCCCACGGGCCGCGCTTTGGGGCGGCAGCTCCCGGCCGGGGGAGCTCGGGTACCGAAAGGCGCAGCGATGCTCGGCGGTGCTGCGGATGGAGGAGCAGCGGGTGGGACGCAGACAAAATGTCTGCAGCGCTGTAGGGCGAGCGCGGCTCGGAGCGGGCACGCAGCTCTGCGCGCCCCGATAACCGCCGCACGGCACCGGGGCGGCACGCGGCCCTCCTCCGCCCCGATGAATCACAGCGCGGCGCTGCGCGGGGCCGGGGGGGTTGGGGGGGAGGGGAGGGGAGAGCTTCTCCTCTTCCTCCATCGGTGGAAGCGGTGCCACAAAGCGCCGCTCGGTCGCAGCGCGCAGCGGGGCCGGGAGAGGCGGAGAGCGGCCCGGAGCAAAGCGGGACCGCCGCCCTCTGCCCGTTCGCACCGGAGTTCAGCCCGGGGCACCGGGAGGGCACCGGGAGGGCACCGACGGGCGCCGCTCAGCCCCACCCGGGCCGCCCCCGCCCCGCACCGCTTCGCAGCGCTCCGTGCGGAGAGCAGCGGATGGAGGCGATGCCCCGCACCCCGCCGGGGAGGGCTCCCCAAGGGCACGGGCTCCATCGCGCCGCGGGGCCGGGGGCTGCGCTGCCCCCCTCCCCCCCTTCTTCCTCTCCTCCGCCAAAATGGAGGGGCGGCCCCGCGCCGCCGAGCTTTGTCCGCTCCCGGCCCCGCGTTGCGGGCGGCCCCTCCGCTCCCTCCGTTCCCCGCACCCCCCTCGGCCCCAACCACCGCCCGGCCCCGCACCGCACCCCCCCGGCTCTGCGGCCACCGCCCGTACGGCTCCGGAGCACCGAGGCCGCATCCCGCGTCCCCACCCGCACCGCGCTGCGGCCCTCGGCCATCACCCCCCCTGCATCCCGCAGAGCCGCATCCCGCACCCCCGCCCTTCCCGGGCCCGCATCCCGCACCCGGCCCGCTCCCCGCAGCCGTACCGGGCGCAGCTCGGGGTTGGGGCTCCCGCCCGGCGCGGTCGCTCTCCATGGCGCGGGGCGGTGCAGGGGGCCGGGCCGTGCCGAGCTGTGCCGCGCCGCCCCGCTCCCCCCGGCCCGCGGGGGAGGAATCTCGGAGCTCCCCGCCCCGGCCCCGCGCCTGCCGGCACCGATGGGGTGGGATGGGGATGGGATGGAGCCGAGATGCTCCGCCCGACATCACCGCTCCGGGCACCGCTGCTGGTGTTGGGGCCGATCTTCAGCCCCGCGCTCGCCCGCCTCCATGCTATCTTGTTTTCTCCCAAATGTTTGGGCTCACAACCACGCTCACCTCTCCCAGCACCACCTGGAGCTGGTCCCCAGCACGTATCGAAGCTGAGGGTGGAACCTGCCCTGCCTGCACAGCCACCGCCATCTGGGTCAGCAGCCCCGTCCCCGTCAGCCCAAAGGGACGCTGATTTCCATCCCAGAGCTCCGTCTCCACCATTTGTGGGGCCTCACCCCATCTTTCTGCCTCCTGCATCCCCCAGCACCGCCAGCAGCTGCTCCACACCACGGAGCGATGCTGAAGCACCACTTCACCGGACCACTCCGCATCCCACCCCTAACCCAACAACAGGGACACCCGCGGGGCTGCAGCACCTTTGGGTGCAGGGGGATGTGGTGATGCACAGTTCAGGTTCCTGCAGGCATCGCCCCGTCAGAGGCGCCTGTTTTGGGGATGATGTCACCGCGAGGCCAGGAGATCCCCTGCCATCCCTCCTCCTGCCAAACAGGTTCCCCAAACCCCTGCCCTCTGCTCCACGAATGTGTTCTTCTGACTCAGGGATGGGAGCGGGCAGGCCCAGAGCTGACAGAGGGTGAGGGGGGGCTGGCAGGGTGTGCATAGATCAGATGGGGACATGCAGCTTGGGACACCCTTGGAATGGAACCAGCAGGGATGGGGGCACAGGGCACCAGCAGGGACCTGCTCAGTGCCACCATATGTGTGACCACCCACACCAAAACTGCATGCCCCCCTCTTAGCATCGCCGACTGCACCCCATGGGCTCCTGGCTTGGCTCAGAGCTAGGATTGTCCCCACATTCCCAGCAGCCAAACAGCCCCAAGGGGATGGGATGGGGCACAGCCCCATTGAGTCTAAAGGTGAGGAACAGCCTGCAATCACCCAGAGCACTGCAGTGCTGTGGGTCCATGCTCCCCCAGCACAGGGCAGTGTGGGGCAGGGACCCAGGGCAGCAGCACTGCAGAGCTGTGCCAGCCCCACTCAGAGCCTCTTACAAACAGCAGCACTGCCATCGATTGCTCTGCTGCAGGCACAACACTGCTGCTGGGGGTGCTGGCTCCAACCCCCCCCTCCTTGTTCCCATGGATGCTGGGAACTGCCGCCCTTCCCGAGCTCACGGAAAAATCAATGAGCTCATCACAAGCACTGCACACCCAGAGCTGCACCGCTTGGCTGCACTCCCCAAAGCTCTCTGTGCTGCCCAGACCCCCGGCCCAGGGTTGAACCCCCAGCCCTGCTCCATGAGAGGGGGGTCCCTCCGCTCCCCCCCCCCCCCCCCCCCCCCCCCCCCCCCCCCCACCCCCCCCCCCCCCCCCCCCCCCGCCCAGCCCCACAGTTCATTCCAGTGCCTCATCCCAACCACTCAGCCCCACTGCCTGCAGGATGCTGAGCACCCTCAAAATCGAAGGATAATTACAGCAGCAGCACTGCCTCGTGACTGTGGCAGGATGGGTGCAAACAGGAATGGGAGAGTGGCAAACACAGCCCTGCTGGCGGGGCTGACATCATGGAGCAAAGTGCTGCAGGACACCCCATCCTGACCCCTCTGCCTCACACCTCCTCCTCCAGCCCCAGGACTTTGCCCCCTCCCCAGGCTGCTCCCACCCCATAGCTCTGCTTACCAAGGCCGAGCTGAACCCCTAAATGCTGACCCTGATCACTGTGAGATCCTGGGGATGAGGGTCTGGGCCCTGAGCTCCTTGCTATGGGGCTGCTGCAGAATGATGCCTGGTGGGGACCGGTGATAAATGGGCCTGCATCAGGCTGAGCCCTGCCCTGCCCCAGCTCTGTAATTATCCTGGGCAGCATCTGTAATTAGTGCCCTGATGTCATGGTGCTGGGCCTGGGCTGCCTTACACGGTCCCTGCATACCTCACCTCATCCTCCTGCCCCATGGCTCAAGGGTTGGGGGGGGGAGGGATTGTTTCCCCACAATGCCAACCCCAGAAGATCCCAAAACACTGTGTCCCCCCCCCAAAACATGGCTGCAGCCCCACACCCATCCCATGCCCCGCAGCCGTCAGACCCACGTGTGCCCCAGCCCTATTTATAGCTGCCCAGCCGCCTGGGCCAGCTCCAGCACATTCCCTGCACAGAGGGGGGAGCACCTCCCCCCAGCCCCGAGCAGGGCAGGGCTGGATCTGTCCCCAGGAAGGAGAGTGGCTGCACAGCCATGGGGCCAGCATGACAAGGAGAGAGGGCTGGGGGGCAAAAGTGCAGCATGAAGTTGGCCAGAGTGCTGGATCCGAACCCAGAGCAGCTCTGAGTGCTCTGAACTGGGACGAGGTGCGTGCTGGGGTGCTACAAGCACCCATAGGACATGCATACAGCATGCTGGCTGGACACAGCCTCCTGGAGAGCAGAGGGCACTTTATTGCAAGGCAGAGCACCGTGCTCTCCCTGTCCTGCACAGCCACTGCGCTTCATCCTTCCTCCAGCTCCCCACACCCCAGGACTCATCCTCACACCCGTCCCCACCTCTAGCAGCTGTGCAGTGCCCGGGCAGCCCCAGTGACACTGAACTTGGCGCTCAACACTTCCGAGGGTGCCCGCATCTGCTGCCCTGGCTGCTGCCCACCAGCAAAGAGCGTGAAGGCTCCGGGCTCCAGATGCCATTGCTTGGTCCAGACGGCACGCTGGGCAGCCAACACCCCAAAGGACAGCTTGGTGGCACCACCAGCAGGTATGGCCACACGGCGGAAAGCCACCAGCTGCCAGCGCGGCACCGGCACAGATGGCTGCTCCCAGCGCAGGTACAGCTGCACCACCTGCAAGGAGGGGATAAGCAGGAGGGACCCCAACCCCACCTGACCCCCCCAGATGGCCATGGGTGAGTGGAGCAGCCATGCTCACCTCCTCACTGTCACGTGGCCCCGTGTTCTCCAGCACCACCGACACGGAGAGGTTGGCGCAGATGGGCAGCACCGGGGGGCTCAGCACCAGGTCTCGGTAGTGGAAGGTGGTGTAGGACAGCCCGTACCCAAAGGGGTAGAGCGGGGCCTCCTGCCCGTAGTAGCGGTACGTCCGACCCTCCATGGTGTAGTTCTCCATTGGGGGCACCTATGGGCAGAGCAGGGCCATCAGACAGGGGCCGGACACGGTCACGCAGCATCTGCACAGTCCCCCCAGCGACTCCCCATGGCCACTGAAAAGCTGTGCCCTGCACTCACCTGGTGCATGCCTGCAGGCCATGTGGCTGGCAGCCTGCCTGCAGGGCTGGCCCCCTGCTCGCCCAGCAGGACGCTGGCAATGGCCAGGCCGGTGGCCTGGGCAGGAAAGAAGCAGGCCAGGATGGCCCCCACACCATCATGTGTCTGTGCCCAGCTCACATCCAGAGGCCCCGCATTGAACAGCAGCAGGATGACGGGGTGCCCAGCAGCTTAGAAAAGGGGTTTCACCATAAGCACACCACTGGTGCTACTTTGGGATTGGGAGGGGGACGTGTGCCATGTCCCCTACCCACAGACCACGTGCAGTGCCCTACCTGCACGCACAGCATCCTGCAGCAGCTGCAGCTGGTGTCCGGGCAGGGACAGGTCCTTGCGGTCCCTCGCCTCCATCTCCACATCTATCCCTGTGTGCAGGAAGCCAAGGGACACCGCACTGCACCCCATCCCCACGTTCCCCACATGGCAGCATCCACGCCCCGTGCTCCAACCTACCCGTCCCCAGGCACACCAGCACCACATCAGCTCCCTGCACCGCATCCTCCACCTCATCCCGTGAGTACAGCCGGCACTGCGGCTCCTGGCAGCCCGCAGCAAAGCTGATGTTGGCAGGCAGTGTTTGCAGCCCCCTCCTGCATGGGGCACAGCAGGGTCAGCGCACCACGGGGGGAGCTCCCCATCACCCCAGGGAAGGGCTGAGAGGGGCAGAGCACACCCAAGGTTCTTCCAGGGCAGAGGACAGATGGGGGCTCACCGTGGGGTGTAGATATACTGTGGCTCCGGCACCGGTGCGTAGTCCCCAAACAGCACACGGGGGTTGTCTGCAAAGGGACCCACCACCTGCAGAGGGGAGAGGGGTGAAGACAGGCACCCACAGCCCCGTGCCAACAAAGAGATGCACCGGTGCGGAGCAGCCCAGGTCTCACCGCCAGGCGCTTGCCATGCAGCTCACGGAGCGGCAGCGTGTCCCGCTGGTTCTTCAGCAGCACGAAGCTTTTGATGGCTGCCTCCAGAGAGAGGTTGCGGTGCTCAGGGCTCTGCACCACGCTCAGCTCCAGGGCGTTGTAGGGGTTCATGGCCGGAGGGTCGAACTCCCCTAGCCGCAGCCGTGTGTAGAACAGGGGCCGGACACGGTCACGCAGCGTCTGCCAAAACCTCAGCATCAAAATCTCAATCATGCTTTGGGCACGGGGCAGTCAGGGCACAGGGCTCCTCATCACCGACCTCCAGTGTGATGTTGCCCATGGCCAAGGCCTCGGGGATGTGCATGAAGACGTTGTCCCTAACGCCGTAGGACAGCTCCAGGTTGAGGCCGGCGTTCACCGACGCTGCCACATTGGAGACAAAGAACCGCTCACCGTGGCCATGTGGCACCCAGGCACTTCACTCCCATCCCACCCACTCACCAATGGCCGTCTCCAGGAAGGTGTGTGTGTAGCGGTGCCCCAGCAGGATGAGCTCCACAGCCCCCTCGTCGCTCACCACGTAGCCCTCAAAGCCCCACTCGCCCCGCAGGATGTCCGTCAGCAGCTTCTTGTTGGCGCAGGCAGGGACGCCATTGATCCTGTTGGAGAGGGGACAGTGCAGATGGGGCAGTGCCACACGGCCCCCTTTCAGCCCCCCATGCTCAGTACCTGTTGTAGCTGCACATGAAGCTGTAGGACCCGGCACGCACACATGCCTGGAACTGGGGCAGGAAGGTGGTGCGCCAGTCCCGCTCCAGCACCTGCACACACGGTGGCAGAAACATCAGCACTTGGGGGGCACCCACTGCCCCGTGCCCCCACCGTGCTCACCTTGGCATCGAAACTGAGCCTGGAGACAGGGATGTTCTCAGGGCCACCGTGAACGCTGAAGTGCTTGCAGCCAGCGCTGGCCTTGATGTAGCGGGGGTGCTGACCCTGCAGCCCCTGCACAAAGCTCGTGGCCAGCTCTGCTGTCAGGTACGGATCCTCCCCGTACGTCTCCTGGAGGTGCAGAGGAGGGATGCAGGGTCACAGCGCTTCCCACCCCTACAGCCCTCATCCAGAGCTGCTGCCATCCTCAGGGTGCTGCACACGGTCTTGTGGGGATGGATCCCACCCTGACCCCACCACCATGCCAGCACCTGGTTCCTGCCCCACAGCGGATGCCTCATGATGTTGAGCACAGGACTGAAGCAGCTGAGCCCCGTGTGGTCGTCGTAGCGGCCGGCAGCGATGAAGGAGTTGTGCTTGGCACGCACTTCGGTGGCCGTGGCGTTGGCCACTCGGTACAGCAGCTCAGGGCTGCGGGGACAGCACAGGGGTGTCAGGGCATGCTGGTGAGTGTGGGCTCCACTCTCCAATGGGCACCACCAGCCCTCGTACCTGAAGGCAGCGGCCAGCCCCAGCGCTTGGGGGAAAGCTGTGGCCCAGCCGGGTGCCTCCGCGTCGCCCCGCAGGCACTCGGTGTTCCAGTTGTAGGGCGCGATGCCCAGACGTGGGATGGGGGGTGCGGGGCCGTTCCGCAGGGCTCCCCCCCTCGCCATCTGCGGGCCACAGGCGCTGAGCAGGAATCGAGGGCTGTGCCCCCTCCCCTCAACGTGCCCTCACCTGCAGCACCATCTCGGCGGGGGTCAGCCGGCCCAGCAGATCCTCCAGGCGGCGGTGCCAGGGCAGCGTCGGGTCTCGGAAAGGAAAGGGCTGTGCCTCAGCCCACCCAGGGCTCAGCACCGTGCACAGCAGCACCGCCGCAGCTCCGAGCCACGCTGACACCGTGCTGGGATGCACTGGGACCGGAGCCCTCGGGGTTGGGACGCACGGGACAACGGCTCGGCACCGCATGGCTCGGCTCAGACCGACGGGATCAGCCCCATCCCGGCATCCGCTGCGTGCTGCCGGTGGGGCGGAGCGCTCTGCAGACCGGCCCTGAGCCACAGCGGAGCCCCAGAGCTCTCCCAGGCCACGGGAAACGGGAGGAGAACGGCGGTGTGGGAAGAGCCACGTGTGCGCGACAGAGGGGGTGTCCCGAGCGAGCCAACCCAAACAGACCCTCCATACGGATTCTCCCTCCCTTCCCTCTCTACCAGCTGGCAGAGCACGGCTGTGTGCTGGCTTCCAGCCCACCCTGCACACCCCCTGGCCAGGGCAACTCCGCAGCAGGAACCATGCTGTGCAGCCAACCCGGCTCCAAGGAGAGCCCTGCTGCAGAGCCTCTGCCCTGGGCTCCAGCAGAGGCAGAAGCCGGGCTGCACAGGCACAGCCTGCTCAGGGCATCACCTGCCCCACTTCTCACACCTAAGATATGTTGCCAGCAGGACAAGCAGTGGCCCTCTAGGACTAAAAGCCAAAGTAGAAACACCGGGAAGCTTCTGCCTCACATCTACCATTGCCATCGTGCCCCTGTTGGCCAAGCAAACAGCGGCAAGGCAGTCCCTGGCTCTAGCAAAACCCCACTGCTCTCCTGCAATGGGACAGAGCTGCCATGGTGACACACAGCAGCACGTGCACTGCACCAATGATGTTTGCTTTGTGGTTTTCTCACGCTGTCACTCCCTCAAAACAAACCACGAGGTGATGGCTGGCACTTGGCAGCACCCAGTGCCCGCTGCTCACACAGTGCAGGTGACATGGCTGCACCGGGATCCCAAGGAGGAAGAGGAGTGCTTTTAAAACAGCCCCTGGGGTGGCACATCCTGCAGGGTCCCTCTGGTGCTGCTGCTCAGCTGGAAACTTCATCATCTGGGTTCAAAATAGAGGAAAAAAAAGGCTGAAGGCTCCAGGAGAAGAGGCAGAATCTCAGCACCACCTCCAGATTTGTTTTCCCTGGAGGGGCTGCAATAGAGTGGGGCACAGAGCCCCCAACACCGCCCATCACTCACAGCATTCAGAAGGGCTCCAACAGGTGAAGCATAAGCAGCTCAGTGCAGAAAGCACAGCCCACCTTTGCCAAGAGCTTCATCTCCTGTAACGATTAGGCCGTTTCACGAGGGATTTCCCTTCCGATATAAAATTACTCATTCGGAAAAAAAATAATAAAAGCAACCCTGATTGCACATCACTGCTGCTGCAGGGAGCTCCTTAGCGGCAGCTGGATGCCCACAGGCCCTGCACGGAGCTGGACGCTCGTTGGGGGCCGGCCTAGCTCCCCACAGAGTCCCAGTCCCGGCCGCTCCCCCTGGCGGCGGGCTCCCCTCAGCTCCCCGTCCGCCCCGGCGCCTGCCGGGTGCGGAATCAGCTGACCCGCGCCGCACGACGGGATTTGTAGGCGCCTCGCAGTCACGTGATGCAGGGCATGCCGGGAAGGATGACCCGCCCACTGGGCGCATGCGCAGTCAGCGCGCGCGTTGCATTGTGGGGCGCGTAGTTCCGAGTGCGGCGCGCAAAGCGGGCGACGAAGCGACGCGGACTACGAATCCCGTGATGCTTTGCGACGCGGTGCTGGCGGGCGGGCCGGGCGAGGCAGCGGGCCGGGCAGGATGTCGCGCCAGGCCGGCCGCGGCACCGAGAGCAAGAAAATGGTAACGGCGGGGCCCGGCGGGGCCTGCGGGTCCCTGCGCCGCCGGCGGGACCGTCCCGGAGGGCTCCGGCTTCGGGCCGGGGCGGGGGGTGCCGGAGGGGCCGGGCCCGGCGCAGGCCGCAGCCGCTTTGGCGCGGGGTCCTCAGTGCATCGCGCTGCTGAAAGCACAGATAGCGGGGACGTTGAGGAGCTCGCGTTCCGTTCGGTTGCCTGGAAGCGAGGAGGCCGTTAGAAATGTTTTAGGTGCATTCCGGGCGCTGTGGGGCCGGTAGCAGTGGGGGAAAGCTTGGTGTTACACACAGACAGCCGGCACCTCCCGCCTGCCTTCCAGCCTCCAGGCCCCTCCTTACTGAAATCGCTTAAATCCTTATAAATATTGAGCCTTCTCTGCATGTTTGTCAAACCTCCCTGCCGGCAGAGCTAAAGGAGACTTCCGCTTTGTCATTCTTGAGTGCTGTGGGCTTAAGTGAGCTTTATCTCCCCAGGACGAAGGCTGAGCTGTAAGCAAAGCAGAGCAGCACAAAGTCGGTGTCAATTCTTCAGCTCTGAAACAAAGCAAAATCAGCAGGAGCTGCCTGGCTCCTTTCAGACTCTTGCAGTCACTTGGCTGCTTGCTGTTGGCCTCATGAGTTGCAATGACAAGATGGAATTCCCTGTCTCTTCTCACAAACCTGGTTTCTGTTTGTTGAGTGTTGCAGTCTGGGAGTCGCCGCTCCTCCTGTGTGTCTCGGCTTGGTGTGAACTTGTTTGGAATGACGTGCGATCAGTGTTGTCACTTAACTCTGATGTTGTCTCTTTTCCCTTCCTTTTCTGCCTGCCTGCTGCTTTCATTCTGTAGTATTGGTATTTGCCATTCATTTCACCTTCTGCATCTATGCATCTCATGGTAGGTGATAGGCTTTTAATCTGAGATTAGACTTTCTCTAACGTTTCTGATTGCTAAAACCAAAAGCAGAAATGAAAGTTGAATTATGGCTTATTTGCTCCTGTACGCTTGCTTCGGATTCTGTGGATAGCTGAAGCCTGTTGTAGCCTTTGTTTTGCAGCCATGTAATCACTGATCTGCTTCATGGCTCCCAAGGAAATGTGCTGTGAATCACAGGAGCTGTGGTTATGGCTGTGAAAGGAAACATGGTCCTGTTGTGTCCTCTGCAGATCTGTGCAGAGTGCAAGTAATGCAGCTGCTAGTCCAGCACAGCCAGCAGGAGTGCACAGCGTGTCTGCTGACCTGACCTGGAACACTCCTTGCTCTTCTTCTTCTGGGTCTGAGGAGCTGATTTTAGTGCATAACTTATGTGCTTCTGTAACTTTCCAGGGTTGAGATGAGTATCACTTCTTCTTGGCAGCAGGATGTAGTAGATCTGTGAAAGGACAAGAACGTTTTGTCCTGCTGAAAAGACCAAAAATTAGGTCTGTTCAATGTTGCCAATTTGCAGTGCCTTTCTGAAACAGAGAAGAGGCACAATCTGAGCTTCAGGCCCCTTCACCTCCAGGTCATTGACTGAAATAAATTCACGCCCTTGGCAACTGCATGTTATTGCCTGGAGCTGGTCAGTACCACGTGTGAGATGACCTGGAGGTGTCATTCCAGCTATCTGGGGGTGTCCTCGTTAAGGCAGAGCGATGCTAAATAGCAGCTCACAAGACTTGCTAAAAATGACTGTGGAGTGTGAACAGCTTTCTGGTTTGCCTCTTCAGGTCAGCTCTGGGGCATGCTAATAGCAGTGCTGCTGTGTGGAGAGAGGGAGAGAACAAAAGGGCTTGAGTGCTCTCTTGTTCCAAGCAGAATGAGGATTTCTCTGTCCAAGGAGACTGAAGTTGCCTTGCCAAAATAAGAGCTGAGATCTCCTACTGCACAGCAAATACCTCTGAGATGGCAGCTTTCTGTTCCCCTTCTCCAGGCCACTCGAAGCAGCGCTGGACATAGATTCAGCAGTGCTGTCAGTTTCCATTTTGGCTTGTGCTAACTCCTTTTTACCTCTACCTAGAACTCAGAGCTCTTCACACTGACGTACGGCGCTCTGGTCACCCAGCTGTGCAAGGACTACGAGAATGATGAAGATGTCAACAAGCAGCTTGACAAAATGTGAGTGGATCTGCTGCAGCAGAGACTTGTAGGATCTCAAGTTTGCTGTAGAAACAAGGCAGACTGAATTTTACTTAGTATTGCTACTCCCCAGATTTATGTTTTTCTTTCTCCACTGTTGTATTTTGTTTTTCTGAAGCCGTGCTCTTTAATCCGTAGCCTGTTCCTCTTCTGTGCTCTCACAGGGGTTACAACATAGGAGTTCGGCTGATAGAAGATTTTCTGGCCCGATCCAATGTTGGAAGATGCCATGATTTCCGTGAAACTGCAGATGTTATTGCAAAGGTAATTGTCAGAGCTCAGCTTCGTTGGGTTGTTACTGCTGCTTGCATTTATTTCAGTGGCACAGCCAGTGCGTGTGCAGGGTTTTATCATGTGCTCTTTCATAGGATTGCAGATGGGATTCTAGTATAAAGAGAGAAAGAATGGTGAAAAATATATTCTGAAAGGTATTTAGTAGATAGCCAATAACAGAGTGTAACTAACATTCTTGTTCATATTCTGTTTGACATAACAGATAGCATTCAAAATGTATCTGGGCATCACTCCAAGCATCACCAACTGGAGTCCTGGAGGTGACGAGTTCTCTCTGATCTTAGAAAATAACCCCTTGGTGGACTTTGTTGAGCTCCCCGACAACCACTCCACTCTCATCTATTCCAACCTGTTGTGTGGAGTGCTGCGAGGTGCCCTGGAAATGGTGAGCCAACGTCTCTCTATCCAGCAGGATATGAATAATCCAGGGATCTGTAGCACTGAGTGATAGGGTTAATTGGACTCTGATCTCTGAAGGGACTCTTGGTTACTCCGTAGGTGTTTTGTTTGTCTAGGCAAGGCACCCGCTTCCACTGAAAGCCAAAATGTAGAAAGGTGTGATCTTGAAAACTAATACTATTACTTCCCCAGAGCTCTGCACTGCACATCATATCCTCAGAGTCCTTAAGCTGGTGCGTCGAGGTCAGGCAGGAAGCTGTTACTATAAAGGAGATAACAGCTCTGCTTTTCTCTTCCATCACTTAGGTTCAGATGGCCGTGGATGTAAAGTTTGTCCAGGACACACTGAAAGGGGACAGCGTCACAGAAATAAGAATGAAGTTCATCAGGCGGATTGAAGACAATCTTCCAGCTGGTGAAGAGTGAATCACAACCCAGTCTCCTTTAAGGCTGGAGGGGACCAGCTGGTGTTGACCATTAGCTTTCATCACAGATCTGTAGGGATCTAGTGCCCCTGTACATTCAGACTGACTCACTGACTGTTTAAGATGTTATTATATTCTTCTACTGTTACTTCCATTTTCTGTAGAGGAACAATTATCTAGTTGCTGTTTGTTTCACAGGTTCATTCTGAAGCTTTTTCATAAGGTGATGTCGTTTTCATATTCCCCTGGGAACTCTTTCTACACTCAGTTTCTAACTGTGATGTTTGGTTGTGCAAGAACTACTGTTCAGATTCTAAAAGAGCTCCAGTCTGTCCAAATCTGAATCCAGGTTTTATAACTAGAATTGGAGACTAAGGCATAAGAACCCACCAACTTACTGTTAACTGCTGTCCTTAAAGGGTTGAAATTCACTTGGAGATAAATGCGTAGCATTTCTGTAGTTGGTACTAGTAAAATGCAGGCTTGACACAAGGGATGGATGCTGCCTGGCACCTTCTTAGGGAAGCTCCTTTCCTCAGAGAGCAGCAGCATCACATAGCACTCAGATTCAGGAGACCCACGTGGTTCTTTCTGCTGTTTCTCCTCACAGCAGCATTGGTGAAAGCAGACCCACCAACACCTTCCTCCAACAGGAGGTTGTGTGTAGTCTCACCATTCCCCTGTCAGAAGGGCAGAGCCAGTAAATTGTATAGGAAAACCACTGAGCATTTTAGATGGGAGAAAGGAACTAGCAGCTCTAACAGCATTGTATTCTGCAGCACGCACAGCCTAGGGGCTGTGTGCTGAGTTCACAGAACCAGAAACTCAAACTAACAACTGGAAGGTATTAAATGCATTTCAGCAAGAATTGCCTGCTCTCCTGTTACGGCATATAAACACTGCACAATGTGGAGGAGGAGGTGGGGGGATATTCTTACACAGATGTTTAGGCTACAGCAGAATTTCCCACGTTACTTGAATTGGCAAGCTATGGCAGCCTGTAACACCTGCTGCTCTGCAGAGCAGAAGCATAAGGTAGCATTATATCACACAAAGCAAGATGATGGAAAATCAGCTTCCTCCACCACCCTGTTCAGGCCGAAAATTCAGTCAGACATTCAATTCTCAAATCACTTTACGTAGCATGAAGGCACAAACCCACAGAGAACTGGGAGCCTGAAGCTGTTAGCTCTAACTGCCACAAGAGGGGAGCTAGCAGGCTGGGTACCTTTGTAGGTTTGTGCCTGAGTGTAAGGTGTGAGAGAAAGGTGCAGAGAAGGGCACAGTTCGTGCTGCCAGCTGCTGAGGTTCTCCAGGTGTGTCGGGACAGCTCACCTCATCCCTTTTTGCCCAAGGGAGTCCTTCAGCCAAAGGGTCTGGGTGCCAGGTTTGGGGTGCATAGGTAGGAAAGCTCAGATGTTTCTCATTGTTGCCCATTATAAATCATTTGAAGGCTGCATTTTAAAAGCTATGACATTAAAAGAATCCCGATGTCAACTGGTTTCCCTTTGCTTTTTTCGGGTCAGAGGGGCTGCAGCAGCCTCCCTGCCCGGTGATGGGAGCACAGCAGCAGGAATGTCTGCCTGGTGTGTGAAAGCTGCTGCTGGGAGGGATTGTGGCTGGGGGTGCTGCTGGGGGCAGCGCTGGGAAACCAGACAGTCAATGTTTGCTTGTTTGAGCAGCAGCCCCATGAATACCTATGCATGTACATCAGCAGAGACTGCTGTCAGCCCAGGGCTGCCTTACAGCTAAGAAATGCTATTTGTGATTACTCACAGCAGAGAAAAGCCATCTTAGGAGGCTGCTGGGCCCCTTCCCGTACCCTCAGCACAGGCACTGCAGTCAGCCATGCGGTGCTGCGAGTGTGAGCACACAGCACAGGGTGGGATCTCTTCGGGAGCAACGATTTGAGCTCTATGAGTTGTGCAGATGCTCCAATGGAGCATCAGCTCAGCCTCGGGACCAAAGCCCCGCACTCACAGTCAGTGCGAGGACAGAGGGTGACGGCCCCACTTGGGCTCAGGGCAGCAGAGTGGGAGCGGAGCAGCGCAGCGCTGCAGCTCAGAGCTCACGGAGGCTCCATCCCAAGCAGGAGGGCCCGGGGCCGGGCAGCAGAACCGGCAGAGGGTGCTGAGAGCTCGCCAGCTCCGGCTCCTACCCGACCGCTCGCAGCCCCGGGGGCTGAGGGTGCCCTGCGCTGCTGCCCCTATAGCCGTCCTGCGGGGTCTGCGGCCCCGGCTGGCTGTGCAGACTCGCTGCCTCGCCCCCCAGCTGCCCCCAGGCAGAGGATTTAACCACGGCAGGGGTTGTCCCTGAGCCCCGGTGGCATTGCGTTTCGGGACTGGGCACAGGCAGGCACAGAGCTCAGGGTTTGTGCCGCCTTCGATCCCATCCCAGGGTGGGGGAGAAGGATGGGGAGCAGATGAAAGCTTTGCACTGAGGGGCACCGAACCGTTGGTGCCAGGCGCGGTGCAGCCAGGCACCCTGCCAGCAGCTTCTGCACTGAAGGGGCTTTTCCCCTTGGCTGGAGCTGGCGAGCATCACAGCATCACGTGCTGGCCTGCAGCAAGAAGCAAGGCTTGCAGCCAGCACAGCCCCAAAACACACCCAGCACACCCTAAGGCAACCACTGGCTGTTCCCCACATCCCCTGGGCTGCTCCAGGGCAGAGGAGAGCTCAGCACCCTGCAGCCTCCCTCGCTGCTGCTGCAGCCAAGTGGGCTCCGTGTGCACCCAGACGGGGCTGCGTGGCACTGCAGTGCTCACATGGGGTCATCGTTCCTCCATCACTGAGCAGCAGGATGCCAGCACTTCATCCCCACAGTGATCCTGAGAGGGGCAGCTGGGTCAGAACCAACCCAGGCCCTCCGGAAGAACAAAAAGCAAAAGTGGCATTAAGCAAATCAGAACTGTCTATTACCAAGTAGCTCACTGTAGGCAAGGGAGAACATGCAAAAAGCTCTGTTTGAAACCTACTAAATATTACCATGTGCTGTTTATAGGAAACAAATGGGGAAAGGCATGCTGCATCCATAAAAGCCCGAACATGGTTGGAGTTGGACTGAAGCCTTTCCACGGCTCTAGGTTATTGAATACCCTCCGCTTTCATGTGGTGCCAGCCCTGACCCCTGGACACATACCACAAAGGGGAAAGTTGACTTGTGGGAATAATAGACATTCCTAATGAGCAATTTAACCTGGCAGGAAGAGAGGCAGCTTTCGGCTTCTCGTATCTGTGTGATATTCAGGATGACAATGGCAACACGCAGACAGGAGGGGAAGGGGCTGTAGGACCCCAGGCAATGGGTTGCCTCTGCAGGTCCTCATCCTGACCCCACGCCCAGCTCTGGGTGCTGGCAGTTGGATTTGCAGTGTCCAGAGAGAGCAGGAGCTTTTCCAGCTCTCCTCCTGCAGAGGGAGGGCCATGGGGCAGTGCTGGGCACACACTGCTGGGAATGCATTTCCTTCTCTGCTCAGTGCAGGAGGGTTTGAGCTCCCAGCACTCAGGACTCTGCTCTGCCACTGCTGGTGCTGGGACAAGGATCTGCCCAGGAGGGACACGTTTCCAGGCCACTGTCCTCACTGCTGGGGCAACTCCTGCAGCTGTCAGCCAGATGTGCAGCGCTCACTGGGGCTGCACAAAGGGACGTTTCCCCCACCAGGGCTAGAGCACAGGGATGGCAGCTCCCCAGCAGGGTGGCACTGTGCAGCTCAGGGATATTTCCCCAGTGGATATTTGTGTCACATTCTCCCTTCTTCCCCCAGCACAGAACACAAACCATACAGGGATGAGGGTGATACCACTCCTCTGAAAACTCTCCTGAGCTCAGCTCACCAGGAAGCCCCCCACCTTGCCATGCTCCCATTGGGTTCACGCTTCACTTTTCTCCCTCCTCATTATTTGCTCTTCCCTCTTCCTGGGAAAAAAAAATTAAAAGGGAAAAAAAAACCCAATCTATACTTACAAACAGCCTGCTGACTCCTGACTCAGAAAGGCTGAGGGCAAGAGGCAAGGTGCTGCAAAAAAGGACCAGCCCTGCTTTGCTGAGGGCCTTTAATTACAGGCACTGATTGCTCATTGGCCTCAGGCTCTGTGCCTGGAGGGGCTCAGCCCAGCAGCATGGGGATCATCCCCTCCCTTTTGGCATTTGGGCTCAGCAAATGGTCCCTAGTGAATACATGCAAATCCAGATTTCAGAGCAGGATCCCATTGAGTCACAGCTTAAACAAACCCCAGGGGTGGGAGGGTGGGGAGGGCAGTGCTGGGTGCTTGGGGCACAGATCTGTGCTCAGCCAGGGCTCCTGGCCAACCCAACCGAGCTTCTCCCAGCCCTCCATGCATCCCATTTGGGCATGCAAAGTTCTTTCTGGCCAAAAACATTAGCATGTTACATGCCCTGGGAAGCTGGTGGGGGACAAAGTAGGCAGAGCAGCTGTGCCATACCGTACCCAAGAGATGGGATACATTGGGGGCATCACAACAAGATGAAGGAAACTCTCCGAGCAGCACCAAACCCTCAGCCAGGCTATTACATCAGGCTTTACAGCTCCTGGAGAGCCAGCATCCCCTGCTCCCAGCCTGAGGCAGCCCAAGGAAAAGGTAGCATTACAGTTTTAATTAGCGCTGTAATTACCATTTGAGGATCTGCCTGCACCAGTGTGAGCTGCTGATCCAGCAGAGCTCAGTGCCTGCAGTGGGACGCAGCACCCATGGGACCCCCAGCACCTCCCTGGCTGTGTTTCCAGGGGGCCAAATACCATCCAACCCCAGGGATGTGCAGTGCTCAGAGAAGCACTGGGACATGATGAGCTCCTCAGCTGCAGGCTGCAGGCCAGGAAAAGGAAAGAGAGACATTCGATGGGAAATGTTTGTTTTCTTTTAGAATGGTTTTAATTGTGGCTTCCAATGGGAGGGAATTGGTGAAGCACTCTGCATGTCCTCGAGCTGCACCCAATGGGGTTGTAGGGCGCAGAGCTGTGGGCAGAACAGAGCAGAGCCCACCCTGCTGTGTCCAACCTGGCACCCCTGTGTTATAAACCTGCCCTCCAGCAGCTCAGGGCTGGGATGTCCCAGCAGAACCTGTAGAGAGGTCTCATCCTGAAGGCTGCCCACCATCCCCATGCATGGGAAAAGGGCACCTGGTGCCAACAGGTGGCCGTGGGCTCCAGTGGGCTCCTCCTCATTGTTTGGGGGTTAGTTTGAAATCAATGCCAGCCCACAGCACCGCAGCCTGGAATGCCAGGATGTGGCCTGACCCCAACCCCATCCCCATCCCATCCCCATCCCCAACCCCATCCCCATCCCCATCCCCATCCCCATCCCCATCCCCATCCCCATCCCCATCCCATCCCATCCCACTGTGGTGAGCAGCTGGCCACAGCCAGACCCGACCCGGATGGCTGCGGCGGAGGCCTCCAAGCAGTTAAGTTAACAGAGAGAGGAGAATAACCATGTGAGCATTTAACAGCATTCCCCTCCCCGAGCAAAGTGCAGCCCCAGATCTTTCATCTCAGCCCGGAACCCACTGACATCCCCGCATGCCGTGCCCAGCTGAGATGTGGGAATGCGCTCAGGGAAAGTGCTCACCAGAACAATGTCTTTTTCTTTTTCTTTTTTCTTTTTCTTTTTTTTTTTTCCCCAGCAAAAAAATATTGGTTTTGCTTTAATTAGCGCCGGCGCTGACATCCGAAGGCTCAGAGGGTTTGCTGGGCACGGGTTGCCTGCTCCAGGCTCTGGCTCCATTTCCCTGTGCCCCACACTGTGCACCCCATGGGCACCCCCTGCCCATCCCCATGCTCAGTGCCTTGGAGCAGCCACATTACTGCTCCCCACAGCAGCCAGGCAGTGCTGGGAAGGTGCTGGTCCCACGGAGGGGAGTTGGCAGTGGCCCCTGGAAACATGATGGATTCCCTGAGCATGGAGTACTGGGATGTTCTGGTCAGACTTCTCCCTGCCCAGCACACAGCAGAGAGGCAAGGGGCTGCTCTGGGATCCAGCACCCCCCAAACTCCTGCAGCCTCCCACCCTGGGCTCCAGCATCCCCCATCATACACTTCTGCATCTCCCCTGCGTCCTTCAGTCCTGGGCTCCAGCATCCCATGTGTGCCAGCATCCCGTAGGCACCACCATCCCATGGGCACTGACATCCCTTGGGCTCCAGCATCCCATGGACATCAGCATCCCATGGACTCCGACATTCCGTGGGCAGCAGCATCCCGTGTGCAACAAGCATCCCACGTGTGCCAACAACATCCCACGTGTGCCAACATCCCATGGGCATCAAGCACCCCATGTGTGCCAACATCCCATGTGTGCCAACAACATCCCACGTGTGCCAACGTCCTATGGACTCCAACATCCATGGGCATCAAGCACCCCATGTGTGCCAACGTCCCATGTGTGCCAACCTCCTACGGGCTCCAACATCCCCTGGGTGCCAGCATCCCTCAGGAATTTGCATCCCCTGACCCCAAGCTCTGGCATCTCCCACCCTCCTG